TTCTAGAAACCCAAATGATTCTCCTATCAAAAATACTATGGCTCTCAACAAGAGAAGTTCTGCAGCCCTTCTTTCTCCCTGCTTTCCCTTCTTGCTCACTGACACCTACGGCCATCCCAGGACCCTACAGACTGCAGCCGCCCACCAGCAGTTTCCCTCTGCTCTGACAGGTGGGGAGCTCCGGGCTGGGGAGGTTAACTCCAACAATACTTGTGGTTTTCTGCTACAAGGCAGTGTGTCAAAAAAGGAGCATCTCATACTCCTTCTCCCACCATCGCTGTCCATGTGTTCCCACTCTCTTCCCTCCCCACGCCTGGCCTGGGAATAAAGCCCTCGGCAAAGTGTGGCTTCTCCCGGAGCCCAGCAAGCACCACGTAAGGACAAGCGGTTTCCCAGCCAGAAAAGCTTTCCCTTTGCTTTGCTGAAAAATTTTCAATACTTCAGTCTTCCCAGAATTTTGCAGCCACCTGAGGAAGAGCCATTAGCACAGCCCAGGGCTGCAGGAGGGACAGGGCACTGCAGCTACTCGGCACCTTCAACCTTTCGGTCCCACTATGGGACAGTTATGGACAAGAGTTTCCTGAACAGCGGCACGCTTTATTTGCTCAAAGACCTAAACTACAGAATGCTGAAAGACATCACGATTTTAGCAGTGCACTGCTACTGAAAATATACATCTCTGCTAAGCAAATCTGGCTGGCTCCTAGGGAACAGCTGTCTCCTGAAATAAGTTCCAACAACTTAAGATATTTCTAAAAACAGTGCAATATTGAGCAACTTCAACATGAGGTGTTATAATTTTGACACTTTTTAAACATGTTGTCAATGGGAATTTTTGGTTTCAGCATTCACCATACTTACTGATTGAACAATATCCTGGACCGGACTATGAACTTGAAGATGTACTCCAAAGCTTTCATGGCTTTAAAGAGTTGATCAGTGATTCCACACTTCTCAGCGTTATCCACGTACGTTTTTAGAACTTTAGTCAGTTTTCTGTTTAAATACAAAAACCACATACAAGTTACAAGTATGCTCACAGAGCAAGATTTCCATTTTTAAAGGTTTAAAGAAAAAAAAAGTGCCTAAGTAGTGCCCATCAAGTTACAAAATTAATTATGCAACTAATAAATTCATTATGTTCTTGGTTTTGCTGGTAAGTAGCTGCAACCTATTCTTGAGAAAATAGAGCGTAGACTGTAACACCATTCAACATACAAGCAACACAGCTAATCTCAGCAAGACTTATATTCTGCTGGATATTTAGGGATATTCAGATTTAGGCTATTACAAAGATGTAACAATAAAACCACAATTGCATGAAGTACAAACACACTGTTAAAATTAGAACACAAAACGGGAGTTTCTTCGTTAAACAAGGCTTCTAGCTTTCTGATTGATTTTGAGCTAGAATTTGTGAAATTTATTTCTCCAAAATGGTTATAACACCAGCTGCAAATTCTCTTATTCCATGTTTTGAAGTCTATCAAACTTGAAAGTGAAACAATTTTTTAAATAATACCATTTCAACTACCTCTCCTCCAATGAATATAAATCACAATTTAATGCACCTACAAGCAATTCCATTTTATATCATCCTGGCTACACTGTATGTTTCAACATTCGCAATAAAAGTAAATAAGTACAACATTATATACCACTAACAGAAAATAACATTGAGTAGACAGATAGCTTGATATATGGGCATTTATTTGAATAGAAGTAATCTGCCTAAGAATTTCAAGTAAACACTTTGATATTGTCAATGCAACCTCTCTTTACTCAAACAAACTCCTGCAATAAAAGACAGGGAGAGGGCAGGGGTCCGTCATGCCCATGGGCACAAGTCAAGCCAGAATTCAGCTCTTCCAGTATCCTCAAACTTAAACCTGCTCCTGCCTCCCTGCATTGAAGGAAGGGAAGGACGCTCTCTGTGTCTATACATAATACACCATTATATATTTTTCCTCCAACACTAATAGTCTGAATCAGCAGCAAAGATCTTAACTGTCAAGAAATACTTTAAAAAAAAGACGACTTTGGTCTTCACTGCTTCCTCCCCAAAGCGACAGTAACGCAGATAATACAGGGTAGAACATCAACTTAATGCACCAAACCACATACAGTTGGAGCATCTTAAATGAACATCATCTCCTTCTCAAGCACGACCAAGAATTGCTTATGAATGTTTTCCTTACAAAACAGTTCTTGAAATCATCAAATCATCTCCTCCTTCAACAGAACAAAAATCAAGATTTCCTCCTTGCAAATGACCTAATATTTTACTACTATTATTTCAAGGGAGAAAGACATTATCTCCAGTCCCCTTCAAGAACGTTCCATCCTCCCAAGCTCTACGTGCAATTTCCTGATTAACTTACATAACATTATTCAGTTACTTGTTTATCTGGAAGAATTATGCAAGCCACATGAGAAAAAGTAAATTTTAACATTTACGTGTAGGCTAACGTAGCACTGAAATGCTTCTTAATGTAGGTTTCCAAGACAGGATTAAAATGTTGAAATTTTCTGTCAGCAATCAGTCCAATGATAAATACCTGAAAAAACAGCATAATTATTGCATTATCCTCCAAAAAATCTTTAATTTTGTACATTCATCAACCTTTATTTTCAGATAAACCACGTTAAAAACACAGACTTTGGCTTTTGATTATCCTCCCAATATATTAATATTCTCCTTTCCTGTGAAAGCTTCCTGTTCATAACCAAGTTTTCTGTTCTAAGCAGGAACTTTCTGTTTCTGTCCTAAATTCTGCTGTTAACCCAGTAAAATGACTGGACTTGATGGCTTCCATCTTTTCTGGATGACATGACATAATCCAATCCCTTTTGATCAAGTCCAACTGAAACTTAAAATATAATTTTTCAATTAAATAATAAATAACCAACAGCTACAAAGATCTTTTTCATTAATAAACTTCGTTCTAACATTTACACCCGGTTTGTTTTATTTATTCATCATGACAGTGTCTACATTTTAGTCCATCCACAACGCAAACTTACCAAAGCATCAAACACTAATGTGTCAAATGTCTCACTCTCAGAGTTCTCCATCATTATGTTAAAAAGTGCATCCAACGTATCTTGGAGAAACTACAAATAAATACACAAGTCATCATATTTCACAGGAAAAACGGACTTCAGATTTCACACAGGTTTCTAAAGACATATTTGCTTTCATTTATACATTTCACAAAGTAAAGACATTTTAAAAGTTAGCCAAAAAAATTAACATTTTTCTTTTCAGTACATTATTTTTTAGTTAAGTTGATTATCTATAAAGTCGTATCACTCAGAAAAAAAAAGTCAGAAATCACACTTGGTACACCTGAAGGCGGAGTTTAATCTATTATAGTGAATGAACAAAAACGTATTTCCAAACCCAGTTTCAACATACAGTCAAGAGGATCATGCAGCTTCTGCACACTGATGGTTCAGAGCACAAACCAGCCAAGCAACTGAGTCTCATGCCAACTAAATCAAGTCATCCTCAGTAGTTTGGAGCTGAGTGATGAAAAGTGCACAGCATATCGCTTTTCATGACTGCAGAAACTCAGATCCACGACGTCAAAGGAGAGCATACATGCAGGCATGGGAAACAGAGCACACAACCTTCTGCCCCAGCCCAGAACCTACACGCCTCTATCACTGTAACAGAGGAAAAGTCTTCACTAGCCAGTTGGCTGGACACCCTGATCTGTGCGACACGAAAGTAGAAGCAGGTTAGTGTCAGGGGATTCAAGTCAAGCAGAGGGACAAAAATTGTTTTACACAGGTATAATTACAGTATTTCTTCCCAGTGACAGCAAGTGATCCATGCACAGCCCAGAGATACTCATCAACACACTCAGTTTTATCGGCATGGCATTCTGTGCCTGAGCAGTTTCTTCCACCAGCTGACACAAAAACGACATGGGCTCCTCCAAGGCAGAACGAGGATGGACCATGGCCTCAGTTTGTATTTGTTTTGGTTGAGAAAGAAGGGGTTCAACATGGATTGTTCCAGCACATCTGTCTCAAATGAAGTAAAAATGGGGTTCTGTCTTGTAGATGAGACAAGATATAGTTAGGGAAGAACGTCTGAACAGGCAGAAGGCAACTGATTCCTGAGACTGCAACTACAAAGAGATTATCACAGACATGGTGGGAACGATGGAGAAACAGCTGGACTCCCACCTTCCTCCCTTAAAAACTTTTATCTATACTATGAGTCTCCTAGATCAAACATGATTCACCTGGACTACTTACTAACTCTAGAGTTACATTTCAGGAATTAAGCTCCATTTAGCAGCTCACCAAACACTGCTGAAAGCCAAACTTCCTCAAAACAAGTGAACATGGAGCCACAGATCGTGCTACTAATAGCTGATGATGAAAAAAACAGAAAAGACGAAATGTCTACAGCTGATTTTAGACTTCAGCTCTGGGGGAGATCCAGCTCATAAATTCTCTACAGAATTTGGGGGGAAAAAAGTGATAGCCTTCTCACGGTTCCATTTGTTCAGTTAAAGAACACGTGCAAATAAAGTACATTTAACCAGTAGTTGGCAGGAAGGAAAGAGCAAAGCACAGTTTTGAGCCTTGACAGGAGGACTTTCTGTCTTGGTTTGAAGAGAAGTAGCGCTCCCAGATCCCAAACCCTGCCTGGCTAAGTCCCTTTAAAAACAAAGGATGGTTACAAGGTCATGTCATGACCGATCAAGCCTTCATTTCACATTTAGGCACCACATACTGACTTTCACTAGCAGAGTTCGAGTTTTAAATCTGTTCACAAGGACTTCACAACAAGAATAGATGCTTTTGTTATATAAAGTGGCAGGAAAACATTTCTCAGGTAAGGAGCTACTATAGAATAATTTCTATGACTATCAGTCATATCCTATAGACTCCACGCACAAATGGAGTCGGAGCCTCTGTTAAAGGGAGATAACATTTACAGTTTCCATATACCATTGAAACAGTCAATCACACAATGATTATCTTGGCTCATCGCTACTCAGCAATAAATGAACACCAGCAGGCAGAGGCATTTTACTAGAATCTAAAAAAAAAGAAAATTTCAGTATGCTTTATCACACATGTACTTTTTTCATATACATAGACTGTATCAGGTACCGTATTTAAAAGCTTGGAGAAAAAAAGCTGAAAGAATAGAAAGGAACAGTTAAACTAGATATTACAAGCGTGCAACAGAGCAGCCTACAAAGAAAATTCTGCACCCTGCTGTAACAGATTGATAATGTAAACAGGGGTCTTCTAAAAAAAAAAAAATAAATATGGTGAAGAGAGCAATATTAAACGTTCGATCTTCTGCCCCACACATAAATCAAGCTCTGCTCAGACCCCTGTGCCATACGGAGCCGGGAGTACGATTTCATGCGAGTCCTGCAACAGTGCAGGGAGGGCTGAGCGTGTGCCAGCTGGAGAACATTGCTTTTACTTCAACCTTGTTTGTGCTGCATTCCAGGACTTCTAAAATCACCAATATCCATCACGCAGTAATCTGCTGTACGCGCCCTCGTGTCATTTGGAGAAGAGGGAAAATTACAAATGACAGAACTATGACAATGCTTGGCAGAAGTAAGCACCGGCATCAAGTTTTTAGCTATCAAATGATCCACAACAAAACAGCAGCAGGTAGAACCTTCCTGAAAAATAAATCATGGGAGATACTATTTTCACCACGCTCAAAGGATAGTATCGGCATTCTCAGATGTTTTAAGTTACTTCAAGATGAGCACTCATTATTCTTCTATTAACAAAATTAAAATCCACTGAAGTAAGGAAACACCACCACAGGCCCTTAAGGATCATCCGTCCCCAATACGTTACATCTTTTGACACTTTCTTAGATTTGATTTATTACAACATATTCAGTAATGTCCCAGCCTACTCTTTTCCACAGCTAAATCTGTCTTTCTGTAGGTCTCTACAATCACTCAGTGGCCTTGGCAAATGTAAATAACTTGGCTCAGCCAAGTATTTTCAGTAAGAATAATGTTTTTAAAAAAAAAAAAAAAAATACCAGCAGCACACAAGTAGGATTGCATTCCACATCCATAGATTAAAAATACATTTAATATCACTATGTAAGAATTCCAAGAGGTTCTAATCTTGCGAAGAAAAACACCTTTTGCCTTCATGAATCTGTATATAAAAATTCACTGAAGTGCATTTTGCGTGTGTTCTACCAGTACTCAGCATCTGAAATGTTCATTGAGGGCAGGGAGAAGGGCTTTAGCATCCTGACGGCTGAGATACCTGGTTACAATTTAACACGTGAGGGTTGAGGGGACAGGACACACACCAAAACAAAAGATATGAATACCTCTAAAGATGGGATTCAGCAAAGTTAAGATATCAAATTTATTTTTAAAGAAATTAACTTGTTACCTTAACCACTTCACCACCATCGACCTTCATCAGCTGCTTCAAATTCTGCTGCAACAGGTTGGTGTTAGATCGCCATTTCAGAAGCCCCAAGAGGTCAACTAGGAATAAGAAAAACAATTATATCACACAAGATATTTTCTTTGACTCACACTCCATAACTATGTCCGGGACAAACAGGATTACATCTATAGCTCAGCCATTTTCACTGGACAACGATGTATTTCTAGTTGTGCCCCTGACACTGCAGAAACCTAGTACAATACTTCTATCACCAAAGAACTCTGAAAGGCTTTCAAAAGCAGCCTGCTTTTGAAATATCAGCATTAAAATCTTGGCCAAGAAAGGCTGACCCCTCCGTTTTCATTTGTTGTACACGACAGTCGTGGGTTTAGAAAAAGATGCCAAAATGAAATTAGTCAGCCACCAACACAGTCGTATCTACAGGGCCATGACTCTTCCAGCATTACTGGTTCTAGCTTCTCTGCCTTCACTGAATAAACAGAAAAGAAAACACGGCACGAGGCAAGGAAAACAGCTGCAAGCCAGGCTAATTCAGTGGAAAGCTACCTGCTTAATAACTCATCACACCCAAATTGCTTGGTTGCCTCCAAGTGATGGAGAGCCAGGGTACAGAGCAGACCACGAAACAAATCAACTGCAAACGGTCTTGTCCCCAAATTCTACATCCCACTATGAAGATCGTGTCACTTCAGCGTTCACTGATGAATAAGGGAAGACAGACGGAAAGTTGTCTCTCTTTTATTAGACATAAAGTGCCACACCACCATTTTTCAGTTTCCTTGAAGAAAAACTTTTCATGAGGAATTCCCAACTGGGGTTCCCCCCCAAATAAGCACACCAATAAATATTAACAGCCACACTGGAGCACCAGTAAGTTAAACCCACCCTAGCATTTGTTGAGATGCGACCTGACCTGCCCACAAACCCCAGACTTGTCCTGCCTCAGCCAAACTAGTATCAGGGAAAAACTCCTCCCTGCCCCATTAAAAGTCAGTTTTCAGCACAAAACGAACTATCTGTAAAGCCATCCTCCGTAGAAGCCCCTAAAGAGAGACAAATAGGAGATTTTAAAGACTGCTTACCTTTGGTTTAGCCACTGGGTTACTACTCCACATTACCTCCTGCTCAATATGGTTAATATTACATGAATTCTGCCCAACGTAACTCTTCATACAGACAGATGGCTGCTCCCAACCAATACCCCCTCATTACTACTCCACATTACCTCCTGCTCAATATGATTAATATTACATGAATTCTGCCCAATGTAACTCTTCATACGGACAGATGGCTTCTCCCAACCAATACCCCCTCGCTTCTTTTATTCAGACTTCCAAAGCAGCCAACAAAATCGTTACTGAAGCATGTGTCTGCAGAGCGTACTCTGGAAATGATATGCAGAGACCTAGAGCAACTGCTACACTTTCCCCAAAATCTTTCAGTCGAAGCAATAAATAAAATTACTTCTAGTGGAATGCACTAGGGTTCTCCTTGGGACAGATTCCCTTCTGAGCAGCACTCAGATCAAGCCTTCTCATCTCTTTGGGAGTAGAAATAAAGAGTGTTTTACTACATTATAGCTTTGAACAATCTCAGTCCTCAATTTTTTTAATTTTTTAGTTTTTTTAATATATCCTACAAGAAGTCTATAGGCTGAAACCAAAGTCTTAGAAGCTCAACGTGAACAGAAAAATTGCTTCTGGAAGAAAAAAAAAGATGCCTCCATGAGTTATCCAAAGTCTTTCACGGATAATGTTTATATCAGCATTCCGTCACTGAATTTGGTCTCAGTCTGAGTTCTAAAAAGGCATCAGCTTGACAAAAGAAACGATCTGACCAAACACCAGCCCACAGACTCTCTCTCAATGGCACTGAGTATTGCCCCAAGAAAACAAACCCACGTGCACTTTCAGCGTGACGACACCGCAAATGCCAAATGAATATACAGACCCAAACAGAAAATGTCAATGTAGTCCAACTACCAGAGAGAGAAAAATAAGGCACACTGTACAGTAAAAACGTGCATTCACTGTTAGTGCAAGCATCAGCCTCGGCAAAGCACCAGTTGGTAAGTTAATCCTAACGCCTTTAATAGCGCTAAGTATAAAATAATGCAGTAAAGAACAGGATAAGAATGTAAGCGAGTATTTTAGCCTATAGTGAACAGTAATACTGTAGTCAGTCTAGGTCACATGAAATCTATGACTCTATGAGACTAGAAAATATCAGAGGAAGACAAAAGAACGAGGATTTTCAATTGCAAAGGGTTAGAATAAACATCTAGCCTCCCAAGTAGCCAATAGCAGCTTTACTTTATTTGAGTTAATGTAATTTATGACTCTATCAGCTACATACGAAGATTTTTTTTACATCATATTTAGCAATCTGAAGCAAATGGTCTGACTTCCTGGTTCTATACCTTCCTTGACCTGTATCTATGCAAAGGTCTCCCTACAGAGATACCCAAACTTTCTCAAAGCCCTGTCACTGAACTGGAGTTAGACAATATTTCCACTCCAATTAAATTTCTGTGTTCTTTGAAATAATCTTCCCTTTAAGCATTTGATTTTCCACTCTTAATGACTTGTTTTATTGTAATTCTGTATTTACATCTTCATTTTTATGCCACTGTAGCACCTGAATTTGTCATACGATGTGTATTGTTTTTTCGTTTTTGTTTGATTATCAATTGTGCTAAATGACTTCAGTAAAATTCAACTGTGTTCTGAAAGCCTAGTCTCCTTGGTTCCTCAAAGTCTTGACTCCAGACCAATAACAGTCACTATTATCTAGAGGTTTGAGTCCTTCAAGCAGAAAAGAAAATGTATAAATACTTTGAATAAGCCTTACAGATACCCTGGACAGTTCACAACAGCAAATACACGCATAGGACACTAGACAGCCCTCTGGCTACTGGTAATGAGAAAAATTTTCCAGCAATCCCATTAACGCAATTTCAGTTCTATTTCCATCACCCTGATAATAAAAGGATATCCATCTTGTTATAAGAGGTACTAATAAGATTTACGCTCCACAGGCAGCCTTCAGGTAGAGGGGGATGTCACTTTTGATGACATTTTGCCCCTCCTTCTGTATTTCCTGGTATCTCCACCTTCTAGTTGACCAAAAAAGAAGATTGAAAGAGCAAAACTACATTATCTATGCAGGAGAAAACAAGATCTCAGTTCATCATAGCTCAACAGGCTACTCAGAAAAAGGAAAGTCAAACCAACACACAACCCTGACTTGGACATGACATCAGGAATGGATTCAAAACAGATTTTGCTATCCATTTATTCTAAGAACAGAAGGCCTGACATTTCCCACCCCAGATCTAGTGAGATGTTATCAACTGAAAGCAGATATTCCATAACATATGGGATCAAATATCTCACTTCAAACCTTGGGAAAAAAAAAACCACACAAATAAAACCAATAAAAAACAAAACCAAGCAAGTGTCAATATTAAAGAGTCAACCACCCCCTATAGAAGGTAGAGACCCAGTGCCACGTTGGTTGACAGCAGCACTGCCAGTTGAGACTTCAACACACACATCTCTACAGTTTGATACAGTTTCATATCAATTGTTAAATTCCAAAGTCTTAATATAGTAGCTCTCTCTCATTACACAAAAATGCACTTGATGTTTATGTCAAACTGTTTCTTTAGCCCATAAAGGGCATATTTGTTACTCAAAGACTAGAGAGTAGAATAAAAATAAACGTATGCACTGACATAGTCCCGTGGATAGGGAAGAACAACATTCTCTTCTGCCTCAGATGGCAAAGGAGAAGACTCTGGTCAAGAAGCAAAGTGATGATGATCAGCAACTTCTGATGCCTCCAAGTACTGATCTTCCCACCGATTCCCGAGGAGGCTGGGTTTTTTTTTCCATGTTTTTAGACAGTCCTCCTCTTTGGCTTATTTTGCTACTCTTCCTCCAAATTAACAGCAAAACCTAAGTGAAGGCCAGGAAATGAGTTGCTATAATATATTCTTCCTCAAATCACTAATAACTAACTGCTCAAACGTTAACTAAGTAGATACCTCATACTATCACTTTCTCTCAAAGAAAATAGCTGAAGTCTTACCGGTGGCCAAGTTGGCTATTTTGAAGACTTTTCAGATGCTAAGGACATCAATTACTAAGAGAAAAGCCACATTAATAACTTACAGTTCACAGAGAACTGAAGTCAAGTGAGTGTTCAAAGCATTTCTATACAAAAAGATAGTCTGCAACATCAAACACAATGCAGAAAGAGCCATACAACTCATTAACATGCTTTCAGAATTACCAAAAATGAGTCTTAAAGCCAATTTTAAGATACTTATGGAGGATGAAGAAAGAACTATTATAGATGACCATAAGGAGAAAATTATGTTTTGGCTCAACATTTTGGTAAATGAGGATATTCATGGATTTTTCACTTACTTATTTTTAAGAAAGTCAAAGGAAGAACATTAACTAACCATTTTACAGAAGTTAAAAATCAGCTTCAGAAACTATAATCTGAAAAATGATACTTGAGGGCAGAATTCAGTGATGACATTCTTTTGCTTCTTTTCTAAATTGCTTAAGGATACATGGTGATCTTGTCTAATAATGTCAAAATACCTTGAAGAAAGAGAACTGGCTTTGGCCACTTTGAGAAAAAGTTTCAGAGACAACATAATTAACAGTAAAATTAAAGATCACAAGTTCTGAGCAAATTTTATGTAAATTAAGTATAAAACAATGCTCAGTCTTGATTTTAATAATAGTTCTGTGAAAGCAACGTCAATGTATTGATCACTATGAAATAATTCTAACTACTAACAAGCACTAGGAAAGGCTGAGGGGAAAAAAAAAGAAAATTAATCAGATCACAAAGAAAAAGCAGCTTGATTCCACAGGCTGGTTTCTGTGTTCTACAAAACCCCAAAACCACTTTGTTACTGTTGAGCTATGAGCCTCTCTTTGCTATGGAACTCCAAAATAATTTCCGAATTTTTTGCTAAACATCCTCTTAGGCTGTAAGACTGCCAGACTGCAGTGAATCCGATGTGCTCGGAATACGAAACACCCAGGATGTGCTGTAACAGAGATGCCACTGAAAAACACTGCAATAAAATTACGAGTTGACTGCAAAGTTGTACCAGAGTAGTAACTTTCCCCCTGGATAGAGGGGAACTCATTAACGTGACAATCCAATCCTTATTTCCCACCCACCCCGCGTCCCAAGCCCTCCACATCCACCACTCAACTCCCGACAGATCTATCCGAACCGAGCCCTCCCTTCTCCTGAGTCACGACGGAATGATCCCTTTCCCTGGCATGACTCACTCACATCTCAATGACCCACCCACACTCCCCAGTCTACTCCTGGTGCAGCCAAGAGAACAAGGGACCGCTCCATGGCAACGAAGCACAAAAATTACACGGAGGGCGCAGTCTGGAAATGTGAAATATTTGCTTTGGTGGCTGTCATCAGCTCTACTTTCCACAGCCTTTGGATGCGGTCAGCCAGCTGACAAATACACATGAAAGATGTATGTAAAGCAAGTTTTAAAAGGAAAAAATATGCCAACTCCATCCCTCTTACTGTGTGTTCATGTGAGGATGTGTGAACGTAAGAGTCACCACCATGCAACGCGTTCTCATGCTCACACTCCTGCCCAACACAAGACAACAGAGCTTTCTTCAGCCATAAGACACGGATATTACACCTTGGAAATAACCTAAAAGAGCTCATTTGGGAGCAAAGCCATGATAATATCTACTCTTGAAAGAAAACTCATTCTCTTCCTCAGCGCTATTATTCATACAGAGAAGTAAAATGCCACAGAGCCTGTTTTCAGTATACAAGTCCCAGCTACATGGCAAATAATATTCCCACTTCCATTTAATTTGCATTCTTCCGTTTTCTTAGGGACAGGTACTCCTCCTAAAGCAAAACAAAGCCCATGGGCAGAGAAAAGCCTGGACAGCACACACATTCCGTAGATGCTGCCGCTGCATCCAGACAATTTAATCCAAAACTGCATGGCAAATAACCCATCATTCATTCAAAAGGGAAAAGGGATGGAGAAGGCAGGAAAGTCAGCGCACACAATCCCACTCCAACGGCAAGGAGGAGAAGCTCCAGCAGTTCTATGAACTTACCGTTCTGGGTAAGTTTTGTTGAACAAACTAGAGTGGAAATCTGGAAAGAGTCTTTGCTGATGGTGCAGCTTCCAAGGTTCTGCATGCTCTTCCCTGTTGCAGAGTGTCCCTTCTCCTCCAATTCTATTTTAGTGGATGGTAGACTTAAATATGTCGAGGCATCCTCCAGCTTCTTTGCTTCTGCCTACGGTAGTGTTTTATATATGAAAACATTTTCAATTATCTACTAAAAAGTCTTGATAATCATAAAACTTTGACATTGACACTGGATTTTTTTAGGTTTGCTCCAGAAACAGAGCTATCCAACTGGTCTTTAACAACAGTAACTTAGGACTAACCTGCCTACAGATTAGAGCCAAGATGTCATATCTAAAAGGCTAATGAAGGAACTTTTCCCTGTCATGAAAATACACGTAAAACTCTAACAAGCACCTCAAAAATTAAAACATGCCCACTAAAACACACTCCAGGTTTAATAATCAATCTGTCAAATATGCAAGTTGCACAGTACTTACTATTTAGTTGTTTGATCTAACAGAATAGTCTATAACATTTTTCTGTGCAATTCTGTAACAATAATTCACTACAAGTCAGTAGTACTCACACTGACTGTAAGTTAGTTACTGTGGAAAGACTAAAGTATCTCAAAATTCTACCTTGTAAACTATAAGGTCGTGTTCTCCATCTCTTAAAGTTGTTCCATCGTATCTCATGAGCTTCACAAACGCTAGGGCAAATATTTTCTCAGATTTATCTTTGGCTGTTACAAAACAAACAAAAAAGTATAATTAAGCATTTGATACTAGTACAGACAGTCCACTTAATCTCAAAAACATGGATAACCTATAAATAAAGGACCACAGTAAAGATACTCAGTTGAAGAACAGGTACAAGAAACTGGGAGAGTCTTCTGAACTCAAGATAGAACCAAAAATATGACAAACAAACGCTTAAGAATCTGACCACAGCAACAGTACCTAGATGCTTGGTATTTCTATATTCTGTGTGTTCATTTAGAAAGCTGAACTAAGGCAGCTTTTTAAAAACAAAACAGAAATCCGATGCATTTATAACATTCAAGTATTTTTGGAGTTAGGAGAATGGCAGTGCTTGGTACCTAGAATAATGATTTGAACAGCAGCACTGAGGATCTCATCAGGGCTCTATCATTTATGGAGGGAATATTCCTCTGATTCTGAACTAAATCAGAAACTGGAACCATACCTATAGATGACATGCCTAAGTTTCTGAAAGCTGACCCACTACAACTAATGTAAGCTAGAAAACACATTCAGTTGCTCTCATTGTGCAAAATCTACCATCAAAAGTTAAGTAAAAACAAAGCAATAGGACAAATAGAAAACAAAGTAAGTAAAGAAGCAGAACCAGAAGGAAAGTGCCATCAACTTAAGATAGCCCAAGGAGCCTATGAGAAAGCCCTGCAGCCCTAAGGCAGAGTCTCCATATTTAAACCATGGCCAACTTACATTTTTGAATCATCATAAAAATATTTCTGACTCTAGTAATTTGTAGTGCACAATCATAATTTTAACACTAATGACGCTAATCTTCTGCACATAGTTTGGAGAATGATACTTGCTGATGAAAATAAAGTAAATCTTTTATTAATGATCATTTTGCAAAATATACAGCTTCAATTAAATACCCGCTGTGGGGTAAGGTACCACACGCTACACAGATAAGGACAGATCAAGAGTATTACACATCTTAAAATGCATCCAGTAGACACCACCTGACTAATGCTTTTGTCTACAAACTTATTCTACAGCAAAAAAGTTTTCCTGCAATTTTCAAAAGGCTTTCCTATCAAGCAAGCCAGCCCGTGTAATCACTGTACGGAATGAACGTCACAACCAAAGGCAAATTCCCAAACTTTACTGCAGAACAACTGCCGACAGAGTGAAGCTGTCTAGCTGTCTCGACTGACCCTCAGCAGCTCAAAGCATCTCAGCTGCCAGCAACATTACAAGAAAGCCAAGGAAAATCACAAGCTCTCACATATCTTTTAGACCAAAATTACTTCAAATCAAACCACAGGTCAGAGAACCAGAAGCGGAATCCGAGTTTCTTAATCTGCAAGTCTTCAATTACTGATGCTCAGCCCCCTGTAAACTCTTTCACATTTCCATTTCACACGTGTGGTTGTTAAATATCTTCACAACTCCCTACCCACCCATCTCTGAGATCTACAATACCACAACCCTTTCAGTTGCTAACTGAAAGCTTTATTCCCTAGCTCTTTCATTTGACTAGGAGAAATAACTGGGCAGGAAAGGCAAAACTTGATGTCAATAGGTAAGAGTGAGGAATATGTAAAGGGAAAAAGAAGCTGAGATGCAAACATAAAGCAGGCAGGCAAAAAAACTTATTGCCACACTAAAGGCGATTATAATAGTCAATTACAGATTAGGAACACGATGCCTGTTTCAGCAGATTTTGGCACCAGACACTGACAAGAACCATAATGAAAAGGCTGAATTACTCACAGTCCTGTGATGATCTATGACGGAACGTGAACCTTAAATGACTGCGGTTCACATCTTCGATGGGGATTGCGACCTTCGCGTATTGGGAAAGAGGACGAGAAAGGAAACAGTCAGTGCAGTATCTTCAGACATCATCAACCACTACCAAATCTCACCTAGACATCTCTCAACAATATGCTTGGCTCCTTCAAAGAGATTAATGTTAAGTACCAGCTTCATTTGGCCATAGAACAACTTGAAAGGTCATAGATTCCCCAGGAAAATCGCCAATTCTTGCGCCAAGAAAGAGGGAACGATCGAAGCAAGCCTTTTAAGTTACCCAACAAGACTTGCAACTTCAGATGCTGGGCTGTAAGCTCAAAGCCTGCCCTACCACTCCCCCCAGGTCAGGAAGGAGTCCCTCTTGCGTTTGACTGGTAGAGGTCAACTTGGTTATCAACAGCAGCAAAGCAAAAATTCTTAACATATCCATTATCTATGCAACACTTGTGCTACAGATACTCTTAGTGTGTCTCTGATCCATACGTAACCAATGTGCAGAGATGCAACCAATGCCCTTCTCCCCTGTTACTTCTGCTACAGCATCTTATTTTCTTAATCACACGCATTAATTATTTTCTTAATCACACATTCAGGCTCTGTGCTGTTCACCGCTTCCCAACACCACATCTAGGTTTCTGCCATTCCCTAGCAGCCACTTTCCAGCTACAGATGCAACAGCACCTCTGGACTTCAAATAATGATGTAGGGAGTAACTGTAAGTCCCTTCTCAGTACACATACAATACTCCCACTGACTACAGCTAGACAAAATATATTTTATACAGCTAACACTAGCCTCCTCTGTTAATATTAAACTTGGCATTGAAGCTAAAATATTATTACCCAAGCAAATTCAGCAAGCTTAAAGCACAATCAGCCAGATCCCAAAACACTGATGAGTTCAACACTGTGGTAATTATGTTTTAACCTTAATATCCTGCTTCTCTAGGTCAGCTTCATGGAAATAGAGCAAACCATTCCTAAACAGATGTTGGAGTGTCACTCTAACAGTTGTCTTGACCCAAAGAGTGAAATAAAATGCATTATGCAGTAAGTCAAATCTATTTTGCAGCAGTCTCTGAAAGCCTTCCTTAGTTGAGCTATTCCTTTTGTCCTGTTAAGCATAATCACAAGCATTGAATTTTTCTAGTTTTGTTTCTCAAGGCTTAATCACATATTAACCCACGCAAAGCAAGTTATTTTAACAGTTCAGATACCTTCACAGTCTCAAACCAGCGAGGCTGCTTTACTTGGTAATATATTACTGACTTGTACTCTGAGATGGCTTCATCACCAGCGCCAGGAAAAATAACACTCTTGAAAATACAAACAAAAGAGAAAATGTTTATGTCTATCTTCAACTCCACTTTTTCATTCAAATAAACAAACAACAAAAAAAAATAGTGAAGTAGGTCAACATAAGACAGAATGGCTCACGCTCAGAGCTCCTCACGAAATTCGTATCACAGTGCACACACTGATAGGACAAGATGTATTTAGTTATGACAAACAAGAAGATTTTGTCGTAAATAAAAATAGTGACTGAAGTTGACAAATATGTTGAAAAGGCTTAAACAGATACGTACTAAAATAAAAAAAAAATCAAACAGATGTTTAATACCTCTAATCTTTTGCCATCTTCATCATAAACAGATACTGTAACTTCCACATTCTTTGCTGTTGTTTTACTGCCTTTGTCAAAGTCTCCCTGAACCAACGTTACATAGATGTCATTACGAACATCACCTAAAAGAAAAAGCAAAGCACAAAGCTCTCGGCGATTCTTCCCAGTATACCTACTGATTTATGAAACCAATGAGGCACAGAAACAACGACCCACACATTTTTTTACTAACAGCAATCATAGAGGTATATGGCAAAGCATTTAAGAGCCACAGTATCTTGCACATTCCAAACCAGTAGTACTGAAAACAGCTGTTCAGCTAAAATTGTGCTAAGACTTCTAAAGTCTGAATTATCAACTCATAAATCTAACAAACAGGGAAATCGCACGTTATTTCTGGACTGAAAGAATACCACATCATCATTAAGGAGTATGTACCATATCACTCAGTTCCACTTCTTTTTTTAATACAATTTCTTTTATTATTAATTTGAAAGGATGAGTTTCAACACAGTCATTAAATCTTTTTAAATTCCAAAATAACTATACATGGGATAAACTAACAGCCTACAGAGGTCTCTTCAACTTGTTACATTGGGAAGTGGTTTGAAATTTTTGCTGGCTTGAGGGATTGCAGGAGACGGTTGTATTTAGCTTTAAGTCTTAAAATGCTCTTCAATTGCACCCCAATTCAATTGAAATTTTGAAAATGAACTGAGGAAACAGAGGATTTTCAATAATTTCATGAGGCAGATGGTTTATGTGCCAACATACAATTGGAACAAGCAGAGGCACTCACACCATACTGGGTATACAGTAAAACATCTGACAAACAGTCAGCAACCACAGGGAGAGCTGGGACTGGGAAGGGTTTTGAAAATATCTAATGGATCCTCCAGGGCTTAGGGTTTTTTTGGTAGTCTGTTGCTTATGGCACTTTTTATTTTGAGAAGCACCGTGTTTTTAGAAGGTTTGTTTGTAAATGCCAGAACTGAACATCCACAGAATACACGCATTAAAAAAAAAAAGACAATATGGCTTGCTTTCAAATACATTATCCAAATCCAGTATAAATCCTAAGAGATTTGCATCTGTCTAAATGAAGCCTGTCCTCTAGAAAATCTTTCTGGTTTGGATTCAACACAGGAGATAAAAGTTTCACATATGCCCTTTCTAGGGAGATAATATGAAGGAAGTGTGTACTTCATATATATTTTTCTTCACTGGAAAAAGAGAAGAATTTCCACTGTCACTGTGATATCATGTCTTTTTTGGGGGGTTGTTAGTTTTATTTATTGATGCAGCATATGTGGTAGGTATTACCAAAGTATTTTATGTTTATTTTAAATGAGACGAAATCCTTTGATGATCCATTACTTCTATTGTATGCCTTACCTCAAACTCATCTTTTTTTCCCCTCAAAGCTTCCATACATACAGATAATTAAAGGAGGTTAAAGTATAACAAAGCAGCATTAATTCACACAATGGCTTACCAGGCATAATAATCTCAGGAAACCCCATTTTCCGAGCCACGGCTGTCGACCTATCCACTAAGTGTGGAAACTCTTTCCTAATCTGGTGAATATCTCCTGGAAGAAGTTTCAAAGTCACCCACAAACCTGTTGTGTAAAAAACACAGTTGTTAAACTGGTGGGGTTTTTTTCTAGTTACTAAAGATTTCAATTTACACATTCTAAAAATGTGAGAGCATACATTAAACATCTAAAAATGTAAGAACTCTTCATTTACAAAACGTACGCTTTACGAAGTATTTTGAAACGTTCAAAGAAACCCCATCATGTCAAGCAGAAACATGAGTACAGCACACGTAAGCATGGGTGATTATATCAGACTTTCTGGAAAACTGCACAAAATCCTCACCTGGAAACTAAATGGCTAATAAAAAACCTGCAAAACAGGAAATCTGTGCAAAACAAGGATGCGCAGTTTGCGGTAATACCATCCAGCAGGCGTTTTGGTAGGGAGGAGTTAGGCAGGTGTTCAAAACTAGATGTATGTAGCCTCCCTTACACGGCTTACTAAAGCCAAAAATTTGATTATTCACAGCCTAAAAATTTCAATACAACTAATATACATCCCTCCTCCTCGCAGAACTACACTTCTCTTATCACCAGAGTCTTCCACAAAGGGTCTCATGGAAACATAGTTATTAAGCCATTAGCAGAACTGCCTCGAGCTTGTATCCATCCTTTGAACTCTCACAAGTTCTTTCTAATGAAATGCTTACCTTCCACAGGAAGAAGTGGCAACACTGATTTGAACAGAAAAACTTCAGTATTACAACGGACCAACATCCAGATGCCAACCAAGACAGCACCAACAGCGGATACGGACCCTGAATTGATTCATCACCACCACCCCCATAAGCTGTTTTTGCTGCACTGAGCACAAAGAAATCTACAGCATCAGCTTTACGCAGTTGACATTTTTCTCTTCAGCAGCAGAAGCCGCCACTGAAAAGCTGCTGCTTGCCAGCTCCCATCAGGCACATTTGTTATGGGAAAAAGAGATAGCAAAGTGTGTGGGGGAAACCTCGAAGAAGTCTTAAACTTGGTACAGTGACTGGCAATCAAGTTTAAGCGTGAAATAATCACAGCGGCAATTTGCAGAAGAAAATCCTCAAATTAAAATCTACGAAAAATACACCAAAAAATACTCATCTATAAACCAAATTGTGGGTTATCCCGTTACACACACAATTAACTATGCATTCATTTTGTACGTATTTGGCAGCTCGCTTTCTTTTCTATTAAAATCTCTTATAAAAGGCTATATGCTGCCTCCTTGCCAGAGATGGTTCTAACAGCTGCTGCTTCATTAAACAGTAACTGCATCTACACAGACTGGCTAAGCAACAATCCTTAATCCTTTTCTGTTTGCTCGGGCATCTTTCTTAGGGACAGAATCTAAAATGCATCAAAAAGTTGGAAAGTTTCCTCTTTTCCAATACACACTGGCCGCAGGTGAAAACAGGGGAAAAGCAGATCTAAGTTTTTCTCTTTAGCTTATGCATATTTTTTTTAAGTTATTTAGATTTTTGTTTGCTATTAATTAGTAAAAAAAGCAGCAAAAAGGATATATGATTTTCCACAGGTCTATTGTTCAGATACCCCCTAGAAGTGACACAGATATTCCCATACACAGCGTTCCGTGGAAATTCTGCGTTGGCCTGCGTTAATGCCACATTAATCCAGACTCCCAAGAAAATATTGAAGCCAGGACAGTAACAACTGAGCCATCACACAATTCCCTTTTTAACTGGCAGACACACTACCATCAGGAAGTGCTGTATACACAGACACATAAAAAACCCCCAAACCACCCCGACTTTGGAAGCTAACTCCGTTTCGTGTCAGCAGCACACTGAATGATGAAGATGACACGAGCAGCTCATCAGACGAGGTACCAGCGGGGTTGCCTTGCTCCAGCTCCGTCCTTACCACCTCCGAGCCCGGGCAGGTGCGGTGCTGGCAGGGGCAGTGCCCTGGTCTTCTTGAGAGGGAGCCAAGTGCTGTGAGCACAGATGCCAAGGGGAAAAAATAAGGCGAAGGGAAAGAAGAGAACATCTCTTCTTTCAACATGAGGAGGCCAAAGTCCACAGCTCAAGGACACAAGAGACAACTCCTTGAGTCCTTGTTTCCAGTACAGAAAGATGTCCAAGCGATGGACAATGCAGTGAAGGGACAACCTGTAGAGTTAACGCTGCGGGGCAGGGGGGGAAGAGCAGAACGAGCCCTGAAGGATGTGGAAGATGGGGGAAAAAACTGTGCAAACACATTTTCTGCTAGCAAACAGCAGTGAGCAAGTGAAGATAATTATTATGCAGCCTTGATTTCAAAATTAAAACGATCACACGTTGCAAATCAAGCAGTGAGCAGTTTTAGGTACAGCGGTGTACAGAAAGAAGAGTACGTACCCTGACCCTTGTGGTTAACTTCTTTAGCAGCAATCACTTTGTTTATAACAGTCTGAAGGAAATCATTCTCCCCTGCCACCCTGGGTGAAAAACGGGATGATATGTTCAGCTGCTTGTGTCGAATGGCGTCATCCAACGCTAGCCTGGAGGATGCACATGACGACCAACACCAGGAAACAAAAGGGTCACAGAAAACCAGAAGTCACAGTAACAAGGGAACACACAAGATCATATCATAGTCGTGACAAAGAGTATTTATTAGTCAACGCAAGACAAAGGACAGGAAAGGCGACAAGAAAGACAGAGGAAGATCATTAATCAGAAGAACGCTGATCTACCGCGGAGGAGTACAGCACGTTTGCGTCGTGACTTCTCCCTTCAGGGACATGCACGCACAGGAACGCTCCGTGAGGACAGGAAGGATCTCTCCCACCTGAGAACCCCCTCTTAAGCAGTGAAAACCTATACAGGTAGTTTTCCCTTTAATATCTATATAGCAGGCTGGCCCTGCACCACCTCCGGGTCACTTCTGCCCAGCAGCAGTGCACAGCATCTGAAGGAAAAGCGCCCGTAAATCTCACAGAAATGGCACAGGAGAAGAAAAGCAGATAATTCGAATGCTCTGTTAAACTTGATGAAAAAAAGAAAAGATGGAAACTATAAATAAACAGCAGCATTAAGTGTCATTTCAGTAATCTCGCCAAGTGCTTTTGACAGCCATTGTGTTGGTGGCCAGTGAATGAATACAAACAAACAGAGATATGAAAACAGAACTGCATGTGGAACAACAGAAGCAAAGCATGGAATGGGAAGAAAAAATGTGGCTCATATATACAGTCTCAGTCTACACTGGAAATAATGACACCAGTATTCATTGTGTGTTTTCGTATTATTCATATTCTTTGGAATATACTTTTTCAGAAGAATGCTTAATTTAGAGCAGGGAAAAAAAATCACACTGTATATCTTTTCAAAAACTTGATTTATATATAAAAAAAAAATCTGTGTTAACAGTGCAGAAAACTAGATGTTCCATTAGCAGCCACTTTGATACACAAAGATTCACTTCTATTGCATACTTCCACTCGCTAAAAAATAAGCTTGCTATTGTTTGCCACACAAAAAACGTATCATGAATGCGCCCTTCTCTAAAAACCCCTGTTTTCCTTGAAAAATGGAACTGGACTTCTGATTTTCAGATGAACAGCCCCTACACCACCCCAGCAACCCTGCTGACAGCCGCTCGGCTGCCTACAGCACCTGCACACCCTGCGGTCCTCTCGACAGCCCCACATCTTCACACCACCAGGGCTTCCTGAACTAAGCCTATTTTCCAAACCAAAGTTAATTTGAGACCACATTATATCAAGCTTTTTTTTTTAATATTATTAAAAACTCTCTGAAAATCCATGAGTAAATTAATCAAGGAATTTAGCCCACATAACTATGTTTTGCCTTTTGAACAGATGGCAGTCTAACATTTCACACTATGGGAAAACTAAGCACTCATATTTTAGGCACATTTGACTTATTCCTTCTACCTTTCTCCATTTCATGGAATAAAAAAAATACTAACAGAACAGAGTACTTATCACACATTCTCTTTAATAAGCTTTTACTTCTAAAAGTACTTTCTCTGCACATATCTATATATTCACAAAAATTCAGGCTATTAAACCTGTATTTCTTAACATGATTTTGTGGCTTGGAGTCAAAACTCATCTTTGATACTATGTTAAATTCACATATGTCCACGTTTTCAAGGACACCAACTCCACATTTGCTGTTAGCTAATTTAATTATTGTAAAATAGTGTCTGTCAAAGTCCACGTCAGCAACCTTAGAGTCAGCGTGGAAATGTTTGCAGTTTCAGATGACTAAGAGCAAGACCATGTCCACGTAGCAAACTGGTCTCCTTCATTCCGTGAACCAGCTATAACAGGTACACGCAGCACTGGACACATCCTCTCCCTTATCATCCAGCCAAAATATCTAAGGTTTCTGGTAAAAGTCTCAGATGACCAAGTTGAATTATGAACAGATATAGCAGGAGGTCTATCAAGCCATCTTTGAAATGCTCAACTTTTGTTTGTACTCCAATTACTGCGGCCCCTACTATGAAATTACATCTGCTACCAAGAAAAAGAGAAATGTTATTGTTTACTAATTTCACAGAAGTCACCTGCAGTAGATGATGGTAACACTGCTGGTCTTTATTAATCTCAGGCAGAGCTAAACCAGCAATGCACTTATTTTAAGCATTTCACCTCTTACATGTTATCATCCTGACATCTTTAAACAAAAAGATAACAACTGCAAAACTACGAATATATACCTTACACTCAAGACTTAAAAAAAAAAAATATAAAAGTTTCTGGGGCTATCACCACTATAACTAACAAGAAATTATCAAGAAGAAATATTAGTAAGTACTACTCAAGATAAAAATACCACACAGATAAATTTACTTCAGAATATCTACAGAACATTTCTTCCAATCAGAAGTTTAAATGTACTTGTTTTTAAATGAGAGTAAAAATCTTAATTCTTTCACTTCTGCTTATTCTTTAAGCTATCCCCTACTTACGGTTGAAATGGTATGAAGTGCTGTTTGTCCTCATCGTCAACTTTTCCGTTAATTATGTCTGTAACATCCATTACTGCAATAAAAAAAAAAGAAGTGTACTTAATTAAGTGATCAACATGGGAAGACGAGTGCTGAGGAAATACCCTGGAGGACTGAAAGCAATGGTGACTCAGCAGAGGGATGGAGCTACCAACTGCACAATTTCAAAACTTTCCTACAGAATAACATCGTGTTGCAAATAACCTTTGGCATCTCCAGCTAAATGCCAGTCCTGAAAGCTACAGTCAACTCCACAACACACCCACCAGTCTGATTAACCTGGACCTGGGTTTACACAGCCCCACGGGAGTTTCACACACCCAACCTCCTACACAAGGATCTAACACGATGTAGACAGATGGAGCGCACAAAAAGTTACCTGCTACTCCGAAGGGTCGCCGCAGCCCAGACGTCAGTTTTCTCGTGTTGTTGTCCCTCAGCTCCATTCTGCCCACTCGCACAATCTGACAGACAAAACTGATTTTCTCTCTTTTCAGGTCTTTGCTGCCCAGGTCCTAGAAACGGGGATGTCTTTAGAAAACTTTATAGCAACTGAATTTCAAGTTCTGTTTTAGGAAGTACAAGGTTTGCTGCTCAGACTTTGCCTTCGCTGTGCCAGCCTCTAGAACCAGGGCAAACTGCTCTCAGAGTGAAGGAGGTTTTGTAACAGTACTTAAACATCTTCTCTTGACTTCCATGTAAATTAATTGCTTAGGAGGCCAAATAATTTATAGGAAATTAAAACTTCAAAAAGCAACTTTGGTTTTAGCGAGGTGTTGAGAATTTTTAGTAGCCACTTCTGAGAAGCCTCTCACATGAGCCTTCCCCAGGATCAAGATCTGCAGAGGTAACTCCACAGTGTCACATCCCAATCATCCCATTTCTCAGTTATTCACAAGCTATGAAACGAGTGCTATAAAACCTGCCAGCTGAGCCAAGCCCACAGACTTACGGTGAACACCGCTCGAAGGTTATGCAACCTGTCGATATCTTTGGGGAGTCCACAGCTCGACCACCGCACCAAGTAGTTTTCACTGAAAGAACAGTATTTGGAGAACTTTATGTTTAAATGGCTTCCTTTAACACAAGCATATAAAATCCACTTCAGAATTTACAGAGGACTATTTTAAACCCAACCCACTTATCCTAAACAAAGCTACCTCGCTACTATAACCGAGCAAGCACAGGTCAGGGAGTACACTCAGGAGTACACCAACCTGATAAATTTTGACTCCAGTGGATCATACAGAGACATCAGGACTTCGGCGTCTTCTCCTATTTTACAGACTACATTTTTTAAATTTACAAATAAAGCAAATGAAGGAGTGGCAGCAAACTTGGCTTGTCTGTTGATATCGATATTCTGTTTCTGAGACTGTAATTCAAGAACAGAAGAAACTTCAGTTTAACTTCACCTAACAAATGCTCAACTGCTGTAAAACTTTCCTAAAACCTTTCAGACAGAAGCGGGGTTTTCTGTTGAGCATCTACTCCCGTGATTTGTTTATGTCAGGAATTATAAGACACTGCATTTTCTGCATCTGTCTTGAAGTACCACACTGTTAAGAAGAAAAGAAAAACAAGAAAAGGGGTTGGGGGAGAGAGAGTTGTCTTCACTTTTGAAATAAGAGAGCTAAACGAATGGAGCCTCAAATATACTTGACAAAAAAAAAAGTCTGTTCTTTGCTTTGTCTGCTATTTTTTCTAACAAGTGCAGAATGCCCAGCCAGCCAGGAGAGCACACAGTGCCACTTCTACAGCTTACCCACCCCTCAGACTCTAGTTCTCATGAACTTTCCACAAACTACATTATCTAGGCAGAAGGCAGGCAGGCACATGGGACAAAAAGGAAACTGGCTGAGGCAGGGACAAAGAAACAACTCTGGATGCAAAAATTTGATAGTTTAAATCCTGTTTTAACCAGGGTCTCTTTCACCAGGGTGGTAAGGGCTGCAAACGTGTGTACAGCCTGTTACAACTCAACAGGATGCAGCAACTCATTGAGTTGCATTAACATATTCATGAGCTGCTCCTCAGGAATACCATGCTCCTCTACCTGCTGCTGACACGGGCAGGACTCCCTACAACTGAAACATTCTTCCTTTTAAAGATAAGGATTTGAATTACAAAGCAGCTGACTATTCAACTCTGAGAATGTGTTTAAATTTCCTCCCTGTATTTCAAACTCACAAATTTTCAGGATTGGTGTACAGAAATTATACAAACATAAAGAGGATGTTATTCTACTCGATTCTGAAAAATAAACTCTTGTGACAACCTAACATACAAACCTGCTATGTGTGCATCTCTGCTATTAACCTACAAATGTAGTTGGCTTACTGATACAAGTCTTAACCATAAATTCTACTAAGCCCTTTAAAGGATGAAAAAGAAACCGTCTTTGTAAGAACATACAAGCTCTAACAAAGTCTTTAAGCATGATAACTCTTCATAAACACACCAAATGCTTCATTACCAATGCTAAAAATAAGTCACCTAGTTTGTTTACAGGCTTATGTTTCAAAGGGAAAAGCTACAGTTCACAGCATATCTTACTTTTTCTTCCTGTAGCCTCTCTTCAACTTGCTTGGAAGCTATTTCATGTGCTCTGAAAAGGCTAATTGTGCTGGTCTGCTCTGGGTCCAAAATATTGCCATCTTCGTCTCTAACAACCAGATCTAAATCAAGAATTCTAAACAAAACAACAACAAAAAATCCTTGTGAATTAACAGTGCTTAAATAAATGCTTAAAAAGCACCTGCCCAGTGTTCAACATTCAAGTCATGCACACGTGACATATGATAGAAAAAAAAAAATATTTGATACATGATAGAACAATTTAACATGTCACCTGCCCCAGAGATAACCATCTCTGGCTGGAAGGCATGTTTTCCCACAGCATAGAAAGAACTGATATCAATGTAATAGCAGAACATTTGGGAAAACAATTTCTTAAGAACTAAATTTACAAGAGACTTTGTGTCCTCCTCTGATTCATCTGATGGTTCCAACAACCAACCACCACAATCACACTAAATGCAAATTGGTCAGTTCATTTTGTCCCACTCCACATTCTCCTCCTAAGCAGGTACATTCCAGTTTTAGCAAAAACTCACAAGATGCAAGAAGACATAAGTGGATTTCTCTTTATTTAAAGCAGAAGGCAGACATCTGTCAGCAGGTGTTAACATCCATCATTACCTTCTACAGAGAGGAAGGTTTCTGCCATAAATAAATCCAGTCATAGGAAAGACCTTTCATGTTATTCCATGCTAGTACAATGCTGGCAGCAGAACCAAGGATAAAACAAACAATTCAGGCCTGGGTTGATCCACATTTCTCTGTCTTCCTTAAGACTGACCTCCTCACCTCTGCTTCAATACATATGGTCCCCATTTTCTTCTTCTAACTCTGTAGTCACCTCTTATGATGGAGCTGCTATAACTTTGGTTTTGAAATATGTTTGATCAATGAGCTTAAATCAAACTTGCAGTGTCTGATAAGCCACACCGAGGTTCGTGGTTTATCTGAGATTAAGTCTCATTTGGACACAACTCGCAATTATTCGAAAAGAACAGGAGCTGTGGCAGACGAAGAGATGTTTCATGTACTTACAGGATCACTCCTCACCCTTCCCTGACAAAAGGGAAACCCCCAGGTTTGAACCAAAGTCTTGAGCAGAGTCAATTCAGAAATCCCTCCAATTAATCGCACTGCATTAATTCAACGATGACCTAGTCATCACGAAACTCTCTTCAGCATCCCTGGACCACCAAGCTCCCACATGAGTTTTCTAACGAAAAAGTGGTTTCATCATTGAAACCAAACAGAAAAGCAGCCAAAACCATCTTGCTCCTCCCTACTACTGTTTCCTGGACAGCAGCCACAGCAGGACATACACCCGCCGGCCACTTGTATCGTAACCGCCAGCCCTGGATGAACAAAAGCAGAGTCCTTCTGCAGAGGAAAATGGAACTCAGAAATTCGGAGAAGAGATTAATCACTCAGCCTACTACACATCAACAGGATGTCAAATAAACAGAAGAAAACACTCTTATGATTTAATTTTTGTTTTATCCTGCATCTTGCAAATGATGCTTAGAAAAAAACACACAAAATTTTTTCCTAAGTGTCCCAGTTACAATTTTTGCAACTGAACAAGAAACATGTTTTCACAACAAAAATCACCTGACCCAATTTCAGGAAAAAAATACAAATTCATTAGACTTGTCTTTATTTATAGAAAAAAAATTATTTACAAATCAGTATCTCACAAAACAGGTACAGAGAGGCTATGATTAGATCAGGAAACATTTATAAAACGCATAATGAAGTCATTCTGTCTGGATACTGAAATAACCAGTCGTGCTCATTTTAGACAAAAGTGAACGTATGACTACATCAGAAACATATGGTATCTTTCAGTTGTGAGTATTTACTTCCAAGTTCAAATTCACTTCCCTCCTTTACTCCACAGAGAACGTTCTGATCACTTAATTAGTCCATCAGAACATTATGAATATAAAGCACAGCACAAGATGTTCCACTGTATGTGAATGCTGAGCATCTGGAGGTTATTCAGAGTAACTTTAACCAACTCCTTAGCCAGATGGTAAAATACAGTAGCCAAAGAAATAATATCAACAACATCTGGTTAATTGCCTACTGAGGTACAACAGTCCATATCTTGGATTATAAATGCTAATTACTGACTGAATGCAGTTACTGATTTTTTTTTTATTTTTTATTTTTTGTTTAAATCACAGTTTTTGCTGATAAGAACTGCCGAATTTGCACTATTTCTGTTCAGGCACTTTAAGGAATAAAAACACAAATAGCTGAAATGTGACGAGTTATTTACACCACAAGATATTTAAAGACTGGCTTGCTGAAAACTGTCTCGGTCCCCAGGTGTGCAGTACTACAACATCATCTCTCAGTACTCAAACCTTGCATCAAATAGTTTCCTGACTGAAGAGTAAGATATGATTTCTGATTTTCAAACAAAACGGGAAGTCATATCTGTATAGACAATTTGTAATCTAGAACTTGTATTTAAAAAAATTTTGCTTAAATCTAAACCCCTGTCTGAAGAGTTTATACATCTGAATTACTAACGTACTTAATGCATGCAACCTATACCACTGTCGTCTTGTTTGGTTTTATTTTTTGGTAAATACTTCCTTCACAATTTCCATTCTGTCCTTTATAGGAGAGACATCCTTTAAATAGACACTTTCTTTTACTAAATCTGTCTGTTAATCTTCTGCTACAAGCTGGATACTATGTAAGTAGAGGAACAATGAGCTAAACTACGCTTTTAAGCCAAACCCTTCAACATCCCAGTACAGCTAAGTGACTTCAGGGCACACGCAGCTGCTGGTGTTGAGAAGGCAACAACTGTTTATGCTGCAGAAGCAAGTAGAGTTTAAATTATATTCCAAATGGAGGCAATACTCGCGCTTTTCAATTGACCTTAAAAATCACAACTTCCTAACAATATCGAATTGATAGTATCATCAGGCAAGTGGGAGCGTTACATATGGATTCCACTTTACATATTATAATTCGTGCTATAATTTAAAGATGCCACATCAACTTCATTCTTAATCTTGCTATAACAAGACTATTAATGTACTACTATTACATCTCCACAAATACATGAATAAAAGCATCCTGCAAGAAGTCATTGACAGCTAACGTGTATTACACGGGCCGATTCGTTTTTAAGCACAAACACTCGAAAGATATTGCTCACAAACCTGTTGCCATAATCAATTTTGGCAGTCACTTTCTTTTTCAGTTCTTTGAGCTCATCCTGGGGCAGGGTCCCAGAAAGTATTTGAGATCTCCACTCGATGAGGTCATATATCATGTGCCGTACACTGCGAAACATTTCTCTGTTATCTTGCTGTTTGGAAGAAACAAATGAGTAGAAATTAGTTTCGAAGTCTACTGAGCATCTTTTATATACATATAATAAATGGCAATTATAAAACACCAATTCGAAAGGGTAATAGTCTACAATAAGAGCCTAACTTTCTACAGCACTCAATACAAAGTCTTACATTCTGTTTTAGGTATCTAAGTAAGTGTCAATGCTTGTGTTTATCTTACCTTAAAACCCAGATCATACTATATTCAGGACAGGCAATTCCAAGGAAAGACATTCTTTTCTTGGCTTACAGAGTAACTTTACTCAACGACCCTCTATACTGAGTAGAACAGGACTGAAAACGGTGAATTTTGACAGCTAGAGGCTCAAGTTCTGCAATATTCCATCTACAACACGTTACAGAATCCCTTTTCCCCTATTAGTTAAACCTTGAGAACAACACTTTAAAACTCCTCAGTGTGCAAAGCCGAGCACATCCGTACCTTACGAGCCCACAGGTGACATCTGAAGGAAAGCAAAAAAACAGGAAAGTGCTAAACCTTATAGGAAATTAAATACCTTAATTATTTATAAAGGCTGGAACTATGGATATTAAATAGCACACAGCAGTGCACACCAACTTTCCTTGGCAATATTCAGCTGAGCCAGGACACAGGAAGATAAGACTTCCAGACTTACAATGGGGGAAAAAAAAACTCTTTTCCAGAGCATTTTCTCTATGCATGCCCATACACAGCCGCATCCAGAGACAAAAGACTAAATCTTTAACCACAAACCAGAATCTGACATGCTGGTTTAAACTGTGGACGGCGCGTACACACAACAACCGGAGCGCAAAAATAATACTATGCAAAACTGAAGCTGCAGAACAATGGCCTTTCCATTTCCATTGTGAACGATAACGTCAAGACAAAGATGAACACAGAGGCCATGAATGCTTTGATCTTACCCAGACACGATCTCTCTTACTGTCTTAATAACCCTCCAAATCTAAGCCATTAGTTCAATACACTCTCAAGAAGAACACGTCTTCCTAAACACCCTGTATCAATGATTGATTCAGGTTATGAGCAGCTATCTTTCATTCAGCCTACACCCAGGCCTTATTTGACTGAAAACAACTGGAATAATTAAATAATTAAAATAAAATTCTCTGCTATACGTAGAAAACAATGAAAAACTACAGAAGGTGCAAGAAAAAAAAATATATACTGACTCAAAGACTCAGGGGGGGATTATCTAACTGTGAAACTTAAAGACTTCAGTCTGTTCAGATTATCAAAAAGCTGCCTTGATTATAGCATGAGAACCTTCACAGGGAGAAAATACCCACTACTAAAAGCTCTTTAATGTAGCACAGAAAGACACAACAGGCACATATGGCTGGAAGCTAAATACAGACACATCCAAATGGGAAAGAGGTTCACGATTTTCGATGCTGCAGGCAATCAAACTAGTGAGATGAAGAACATGCCACGTCCCCTGCTATCTGCAAATCAAAACTGAATACCTATTTAACATTCAAACATAAATTACAAACTGAATAAAGGCATAAACATGGTCATTTAATGTTTTTTGATATGCAAGATGTGGACGACAGGGAGTATCTCTCTGGTCTGCAAACTGACCAGTTTGAAACCGGCTCCCTCCAGTAAACCAAATCTCCCTTGAAAAGGCAATCCCAGGGCACCAATGCTCTTTTTAGCAGTTGATCCCATGCAATTAATCTAACAGATATCCTTGAGATACAAACTATAAACAAACTCATTCAGTGATCTACCTTCTCAGAGCAAAGCTGTAACAGGGACTGGAACCCTTTCTGCTTCTCAACTGGGGCCATTGGTAGCATCACGCCTTGCCTGCTCATGAATTCAACATTATTAGCAAAGCACTGCAGTGCTGTGCCACTGTTCATGTGTCCTCATGGAGGCAAATGCACAACAACTGACATGTTAAACATTAACAGTTAGAACAAGTGATTCCCACACCAGGAGAATTTTATAGTTTCCTAAAAGTTACCGCTGCAGAAAGCACATGCAAGCCTTGCTATGAAAACTTGTAACAGTGCACCTCGCTATTCCTCCTTTTTTATTATATATGGACCTCAACCAAGTCTCGTGCAGTTCTGCAAGTGGTATTTCTCTGACGTTAAGCAATATCACGTTTCATACTCAGGACAATCCCCCCCAAAAAAAGACATCAGGGTCAAAATGCAATCCTCACTGTCCTCAGCAGAACACAGCAGTGGAGCCAAGGGCAAAGCTGTTCTCAGTGTCCCCTCCAGATTCTGCTCCTCCCTGGCTACTTCTTCCTTGTTCCTCAACACATGGCTTCTCTAGTACCACACCATGTTAAAGCTCTCTCTTTAACACATAATCTGTTTCTCTTCATATAACACATTACCCTTCATCTCACCTACTACAACTCTACACCACTTCCAGCACATTACATTTTTAATCTTTATTTTCATTGGTGCAATTAAAAACCACATTAGTCAACACAAACATCTTCATTTCCAGTTAGTGTCTTCATTACACAGCTTGCACTTTCATGATAGAAGACTTCAGACACATTTATAAAAAACAGAGACTGCACTGAACCCTACTTTAAATATAAGGCTTTCATGTTCATATTATTTTGTTACAATGACCTTACACAAGGAGAGCACGACAAGCCTGAGCTGGGGTGCTTTACATCCTGCAACACGTGGTCGCTTTACATCTGAACTGCATTTTTAAGTGCACATTTGAACACTATTTAGACTTTACTTACAAATACTTTCCTGGCTATTGTGTTTTTCTATTATCTCATCTGAGAGACTGTGAATGCCAATGCTTATTACTGTAGATTTCTAAGAATATATTCTTATGTGCTTTGAAACTTAAGCATATGAAAATAATCAGGCTTGTAACTTAAGGACAGGATAATTTGGGAACAATCAACTTCAAGTACAAGAATACTGAGAGGTAAAAAGGCCTACACTGATGATTTTTCAAAGGTTTAAGTTTACACCCACAAATTCAACATCAAATATTCAATTTTTTCATAACGCAGATCGACAGCCTTAAGAAGCGCCCCTGAAAACCATTTCTTTAATGCAATTATACATTAGACTTTTCCAAATCTGTATACAACTTTAAAACCCAGTGTATTCTGTATAATAGTACCCCCTGAAAAATGGGTCATAATAGCTCAACGAATTACTGCTAGACCAAGGTAACACTCTAACTGATTCTGCAAAAGAAATATACAGTATTTGAGAAAACACTCAAAAGAAACACTACTGAGATTCGTGCCTTTAACACAGAAGATGCTAAATAGCTTTTCAGCACTAAAAGTAGCCTTTAGAAACCGTAACAGAAGTGGCATTTCATGAACAGCTCCTTCCTCCTTCTCCCTGTACCTCTCACAGCATCACTCTTTTCATAAACCATATCCTGTTGTAAATGTTTTCCTAAGTTGATACTTACAACGTATAATTGGCGCCATATTATAGACCATTCCCGCAGCGTCGTGGTAACCTCCTGAATCAAGGGGAGCTCGTTGGGTATAACTGTTTCATGTTGTCTGAAGAGGAAAAAAAAAAAGTTTGAATTAAGTAGAGGTACTGGGTAGGATGGCAGAACCGTTTCTAAGAAGGAACTGCTCATTTCCAAAGACAATTCTATAACGACAGGGTTGAAAATAGTATCACTTATTATACATTTATAAGTTAATAAAGAATGTACCATCAAATATAGGAGAAGTAACGTATAGCAGTACAGCCACGCGACGTAAAGGGTGCTTTGGTGGGCTGAGCTCACACTTTCCTCCCCTCCTTCTTCTTATTTCCCTACTCACAAGATAAGGATATCGATACACACCTCACCTTACCATCTGAGATACTAATTTTGGAAGAAGCAACCAAGACAAAACCCAGTTATGCACAACCTGCAGTGCCATGATGCTAAATGTGTAATTGTTTTTCAAAATATTGGTCTTGCAAAGAAAAATTAGGCATGCTAGTCATTATCATTAAATTTCTGTATGACTTGTTTTAAAATTAGGTGCCAGGAAAGTAAGAAACAACAGCTAGATCTTTTAATATTTCAGAAGTAGGGTACTTAAAGGCAGTTTGGTAATCAGCAAGAAAGATGCCATTATGCAGCAATCTCATGATTAGCAGTTTTATCATTTACATATTTAACAGTGTATAAAAATAAATCAGGCACAAAGGAATAAAATATTTTAATCCTGTTTCACTCCATTTCATACCTGGCTAATTATTTATTAATTTCACTTCACTTTCCTCCCCCCCCCTCCCCCCGGGATTTTGTTGGAGGTTTTTTCCTGGTTTTTAACTAAACTTTTGTATCAATGTTAGGAACTTTTACACGCATGTCCAGCAAAGCTGAATTGATATATAAAGATCTGAACTTTAACAGTTGTTAAGTAACTAAGAACAGCCCTAACTATTTAGTGTCACACATATCAAGAAAGAGAGCAAGAAAATCACAAAACGAATAGTCTGACATAACTTCTCAGTAAGGCAGAAAGCGATGCCTGGATAATGGCTTTCAGCAAGGAGTCCAGCCTACAAGATTTACTGAAAAGGAAATTAAGAAATTACTTAAATTTCATCTGTATGAAAGAAAGGTATCTCATATCAAAGGCCTCTTTTAATATACCAGCAGAAGCCATAGGACTCAAGGGCTGGAAGATAAAAGTTGGGAAAAGTGAAACTGCAACTAAAGACTAAAGTGGGGGGCAGTGAGTAGAGGAAGTTAATCCAGGTAATTATTAGATAAGGGAGTAATAAAAGTTATGAAGAAAAAGTGTAAATTATTAATTCTTGTGAAACACTTAAATTAATAGAGAAGGTTCTGCTTTAGCTCAACTATATGACAGTGCAGCTAAGGACAGCATCAGCCTCAAGCACTGCTGACAAAGGCCTGTTTGAACTAGAGATGAGTTACCAATTTCAAATATTTTAAGAGAAACACACATTTTTGTCATCAGATCCTTAACTAACCAGAAACAACTGTACGTTATCTGATAATATACTGAAATCATGTAGATACAAATAGGAAAATGGATTTTCATTATTTTCAAATAAAACTTACCCTTTGCCTTCAACTATTGCTTCCTTAAGATGTATATAGGAGGCGGGAAATATGCCCTTTGAGAGACAGGGAAGAGGATTAAATAAAAACCATTTCAAATAACCAACTGCATGTAACATTTTATCCACAACCTAAAAATATGCTAAGAGACATCACCAGGTCTGCAGAGCCATTCACATCCTCTTAAGCATCAGAACAGTTGTGGTGCTTTGCTTGTTTTTTAACATACAGTTGCATTTCGTGTGGCATGTCCTTTCAAGGAAGAGTTACTTTAACCTTAGCAAATACAGAGCCAGGGGTTTTAAACTTAACTTCACAATACTAAAGAAAACGGCAGTGATGTCCTGTCCCCAGTGGCCCTGTGAAGGGGTGTTTGCTCCCCCAGTTCAAGGCACAGTTTGCCACGACTCTCCGACATCCCTGGGTGATTAAATATATATGCAAATTAAAACAAACTTGCTTTTCAAAGCATAAGACACAAATTATTTTAAACAGATATACTCCTAAATGACATTTTGCCTGCAATCCAGGTCTGCCGCCTGCTTTTCCTCACATCTAACCAAGTTTTGTTACCCTCATATAAGATGCTGCTTCTGTTCCCAAAGTGTTTTCTCCAGTGTTTCCAGTTAAACACTGCATGAGAACGGGCAGTACACGGGGCTGCCTTGCTGTGAATTGCAGAATCACAGAATGGTTTAGGTTGGAAGCAACCTCAAAGATCATCTAGTTCCAACCCCCCTGCCATGGGCAGGGACACCTTCCACTA